ATATATATATATATATATATATACAGGTATATGTCTATGACACCTGTACAGTATTAAGTAGTAGGCCTATGAATACTTGCCCAATATGTATTTAAATATATACATTACTAAATTAAATAATATACAGTACATTACTAATTATAGGCAATGTTTTAATAACTTAATTTTAAATAAATGGAGGTGGTACATGGAACACACTGTGAAATCTAAACAAAATATCTCATTACTGGGCTATCCATCGACTGGTTATACCATGGTTGGAATGGAATGTAATCCATTGAAAATGAAAGGCACTTTTAATCAAGGCATGCTTCATCAATCAATAGGTACACGAACGATCTTCACCATTACCATATGGACAACGGCGTATACAAGTCTAGGTAACGATGACAGTAGCCATCCCATGGTAAATCGCGAAAAAAAGAAATCCATTCCGCCCCCATTAAATATGACCGACTGGCGGCCTACATTTTATGTAATTAACATCTGATCTAATATATTACGTACCTAGGCCTATGTGGTTGGCCAAGTGTAGAGTACGAAAAGCTAAAAAAATCATATGTAAATGAAAATCATCCTAGAGCAATGCTGAAAAGCTACCGTCTCAATAGAACAAAAATTCCATGTGGGACCTTGCTATCATGTATCTAACGGCAACGTCCTCTTCATCAACCACACCATAGTGCGGCAACACAAAATGTGCTGTACATACACTCATCGTTACTGACTGATTTGAATCTGTGGTTTAATACACATAAAAGCAACTTGTAGCCTACATTTATTTCCTGTATCTGATCTAGATTAGGGCCTCGGCCTACACAAACGCAGGGGAGTTGGCTTGTGGCCGAGTTGGCTGTAGCCGAGTTGACTTGTGGCCGAGTTGACCTGCACCCGAGAGACCACCCACCCTTGCAAGCACCACAAAACGGCTCATTCTTCGCTACCAACTAGACTCGTGCAGACGCATTTATTGCCACAAAGCTTACCACTCCAGGCCGTGATTGGTTGATAAACACAATGTGGAATATACAGGCGATTTGCAATCTGATCAATGACGAACACGCTTTCATAGGAAACCCACCGTAGTGTTAAGGAAATATGATATAAAAACATACTTTTTCACATATTTCCCGACAATATTTTCGCAAAAACTCTTCATACTTTAAATTCCCCAGGCCTTATCTTCCATATTACTGCAAGATCGGCCTAATCGCGTCACAAACGAAGGAAGAGATAGAAAAACAAATGACTTCAAAATTCGCTCAGAATCATCATATAGCCCTCTCTCTCAGAGAGTGGGCTAAATATCACACAAAACTACTCCTCAATGTCTAATTTGTCTACGTTATACTGTATAACTAGAAATTGCAAATTGCAAGTGAAGTGCTGCGAAGTACAACTGCATATAAATGTTCTTCGAACAAAATTATTTATGCGAGTCAAGTGAAAATAATGAATAATAAAAATATAACAAATAATATGAGACACGACCCATTGTCTATATTAGAACACTTCTCATTGGGTAACAAAGTCGTAATTATTCATTTTTGTCAAAAAGTGTCTATTAGTGGTGAATTATGGTTTAGGTTTTTTTTAATAAACTTTCAAAAATTTCTATGTATGTGGAAAATGTAGTTGATTACCAAAGGTTACAATTTTTATTTTGAAGACTGCATGGTCTAGGAAGTGTACATTTTTTATGGGGCAAGTTTCCAAGGGCGGGTTTTCTAGGGGCGAGTTGACTGCCAAAGAGTGTTGCCAAAGTGCAAGCCAGCGTGTTATTTGATCACAAAGGCGATACATCGCAAGTGTGAGCCAGCCAGCCATGACGTCACGACAATAGATACGAGACGTTACTCGAGTTGTGCGAGGTATCAGCTGAGATTTGTGGAGTACAATTCAAAAAACAACTATAGGTCTAATAATGAATTATTGTGATGTTAAATAGACAATGTTAGCTATCAAGGAACGACGTTGTTTTTCATTGGGACCTTCGTCCCTTCAAGGCTAGGCCCATACCATCCTAGCTAGTCTAGGCCTAGAGTAGGATAAGGCTAGCGCGACATGCGGACGTTGGACGTGTTGGTTAGTATACAAAGGTCGCCTAAAGTAATTGATTTTACCCGGCAGAACGAAAGAAGGAATCTCCGCTTTTCAGCCGTCTTAGGCCCTTGTTTTTTGACAAACAATGACCTTTCAGAGGTCAAATTGCTGTCAAGAATATGAATTGGCTGCTTCGCAGCAATAAAACTATATTTTGAAAATAGAAATTGTACAGTACTTTTAAAATGTATGAATTTGACACTTTCATCTGGAATTAGCCATTTTACAATAAATTTTATTAATTTTGTTTTTGTTAGTCTTAACAACTTCTGCAAATAACATTGTTTTCATTGGTTGGCAAATTTAATCTGACTTTTTACTGAGCTTTTGATATCAACATTGGTTTTTCCAAACCATGCTGAAACAGAATTAAGAATTAATGTGTCAGCATCTTTTAAACTGAATTTTAATACAATGTTGAGTGCTTTATTTTGTAATTGTTGTTCCTCAGTATGATACCTTTATATCATTGTCTAATTGACTCTCATTTTACTGTAGCATTCATTACTGCAAATTCATAGAGAAGAATGCAATTTTGGATTAAAATCAAACTGACATCTAATAATAACACTATCATCTTTCTTTGCCTCGAAATGAAGCAAATATTCATTTTGTAAATCCTGCCACGAAGTGAAAGTGACTTCATCTCCTTGCACTGTTTCACCAATATAATGAATAGTATACTCCTTTAATCTAGAATCTAGTATATCAGGAGTAACATATGTAAACTTTTTATCAGTTGCAGCTTTTCTGGCAACATCGCTACAAAACTGTAAATATGCAGTATTGTTTGCGTGTCCATTCTCATCAACATCAGTCTCACCAATAAAAGCCTTCTGGATGCCGATCTGCTGTTGTGTAGGCTCTGGGGTTGCTAGTAAAGGAGCAATCTGGGGTCTAGCCCCCAGAGCAGCATATGAATATATTTCTTTGATTGCAACTGGAAATGGAACAGGTTTCCTATTTTGAAGACTAACACAGACAGCTTGTGCGATACATGTGCTGATACATTTCTGCTGTTTTTCTAAGATTATTTGAGATTTGCATAAAAATGAGGAGCTACCTAGATATGTCACAGAATACAGTCCATGTATAGGCTGTGGTATCATGTCACTGGTAATGTCCTCATTTAGCATTGCCCATTGATGACGAATAAAGAAAGTATAATTCTTGAAGAAGGGTCCATGGTGTTCTTTCATCGATACCCTTAAGCCTGCTAAACGGGTATACTGATGTAACAGAGCAAGTCTCATTGCACGAACATAACCTGCAATTAAAATTGACAGAAAAACACTGAAAGACAAATATTACAGAATAATATGAGCAAGACTTTTTTAATATCTTACGTTCAATTTCCAATCAATTTGGTAGTTTGCTGGGAATTATGATGATCTTTACAGCAATAACAAAGGACGGCCGCAATAGCTTTCTCCACGTAAAACACTGTTGTGCCAGTCCATGTTTACATGCAACATCCAAGTTACAGGTAGTATCACAAGACACCCATCACCGAAATCAGTCTATTAAAAGAATAAGTTCACTGAACAAGGTTTTAAAAAGTCCTTTTTTTTTCTTTTTAGTGTTCAAACAAGAATATCTGTACCTTTTTGGTTGAAGTCCTGCTGTACAAATCTCCCAATACCAACTTTAAATACCCTTGTGCTAGTTGAAGACATTTTTAGTTAAGAACCAGGTAGTTGAAGTCAAGGCATTGGATATTCTTGGTTCTTGATTATCTATTCTTGCTGTCTAAAAAAATACAAAATAATATATCAGTAGTAGCAGTGTTATGTATTGCTATACGTTACCGTGCTCAAATAACCAAGCAGATTCAACGCTGCTTTTTATACTTTTAAAGACCATGCTGTGCGTAAACAGTGTCTAGGCATAGGGATATTATAATTACAATACTAATAATTCATTAATTTTCAGTGTTGCTTTCGAAACTCGCTAGGGGAAAGGCAAACATTCATATTCAAGTATCAGTTTACCTAAATGACCTAAAATAGCGCCCTCTATATTTTATGCCTTAACTGTATGAAAAAAAGAATAATACGTCCCGCCCTTACACGCTTATTATCATACACCATTTTGTGAAAATTTTTTAATGAAAACTTCTGAGAATCTGGCAACTACCAATGGCAGACTTCCAGAGGACTAGCATTTCGCTCTACTATGTACCATCATTGATTAATAATAATTTAATTTTCACTATTATTTTGTTCTAAAAAAATTGTTAGACTTTAATGTTCATATTTCTCATTCATATGAATTACTATTTACATTGGCAAGTTTATTATGTATATGATTAATTATGTTGTTATTATTGGTTAAATAAATGTTGAAGAAGAATTAAACGATAAAACTAAATTACTAACAAGCTCAAACATTTAAAAACGGAAAAAGAACAAAACGTTGATTGAAAACCAGTCTAAAGCCCGGCACTCACTTCACATCGTACAATGCAGGCTGACAAATCCAACTCCTCTCCCTGTAAACGTTAGACGATGTGATGCTGTCTGCTGATTGTCGGTGACAGTATAAATGAATCGTCAATAAAAATGATCTGTTGCGTGACAGTATAAATGATCTTCGCGTTCTCCACAGAATCGCGTCGGCCGATGACCATCGGTCCAGTGATTGCCCAGCTTAAGTCTAACTTACCCTAGTATCTGTTGTCCACTGTTTTAAAATAAGTAGACCCAACAATAAAATATGGTGAATAGTTAGCAACTCCTGTGCGGCCACCAGGAGGAAGCATGCCCTAGGCCTACTGCCTGTGGCTGTGGATATCCGCGGCTGTGTAAGTGCCTAGTTGGGTGCTGAAATTCTTATCTGAGCTTTGGACTGACGACAGGCCAAAGCGGCTTAACAATAAATTAAACCACAATGTCTGGGATGACACAATTAAAGCACGGTGCACTTCATACACATAGAAGGCTATCTAATCTAAGCCATGCCTTACTTATATAGGATAGGACTTAGGCTACGCCTGCCCTTAGTTAGCCAGAGGCACTCATCCGACCAGCACAGAAGGAAATCGGAGCCCCGGCTGGCATGCCTAGGGCAGGGTAGCTTAGACCAGGCCCCCTTCCCTACCCAGTTTATTTAGTCCGAGGCTGGGCCTACTACAGTAGGCCTACGCCTCCCTTGGGCCTAGGCCTAGGCCTAGGCCCTAGTAGTAGGCTATTCTTTTCGTCAGTTCATTTAATTTTAAGAAGATTTGATCTAAAGTTTAAAAAACTAGGAACAGAATTATTTAACAGAACAAATTAAAAAGCCATGATTGTACAAACCTCTTGAAGTTCTTCAGAGAAAGAGACCAGATTGAAAGATCAGAAACCAGTAACAACAATTATATTATAATCAAAGAACTTAAATAGCAGAAGAATGAGCTGCTCCGCGTATTTGCATTAAAATCGATGGAACATTCGCCCTCCTGCGGTTGCAGTAAAATTTGAACATTTTTACTAAGTGGAGAAACTAAAGGAAACAAGCGAACAAGAGCAGCGCCTTTATTATTTTTATATAGCGCCGCCGCGCGGTTGTAGTAAAATTGCTCTCCGTGTACCCACAATGCCTTTTGAACGGATGTTCCACTCTATTGGGAAGCTGCTATCTTCTGCTATTTATTATCGGTTGTGAGGTATTTAAGTTATACCAAACAGGTCGGTCACTCATGGTTGACCCTACTATATTAAATACATGTTTTACCAATCGCAGATATGTTATTGATTATGTTTGCATCAAAACACAGATTAAAATATTCAAAAATGTAAATTGATGTAAAAAAAAATGTTTACTTTCGTTTTTTATTTAGAAATTATTATTTTTTATTATTACACAAATCAAATGTAAAAAATGCCTGGAACCGATGAGTCTATTATACTCTTATACACATCTTAACAGACCATGTGGTGGCGCTACGTCATAGAATTTTTCCAGAAGCTAGGGAAGCTCAATCAAAAGAATCAGTTTAAAGTAACAAAAACACAAATAAATAAATAAATAAATACATAAATAAATGAATTAAAAAAAAAATAAGTAAGTAAGTAAATAAGTGAGTAAGTACGTAAGGAAGTAAATAAACAATTAAAACAATATTGGTATAAACGTTTAGTGTTGACTATATCCATTTTGGCTTGAGTAAGTATGTTACAGTCAGAGGTGGCGCCAGGATTTGCCCGACAGGGGGGGGGGGACCGAGGTCCCCGACGGGAGGGGGAGGTGCCCCGACGAGGGGTCAGATTTCCCCGGCAAAAGCAAAGTGGGCGTGGTCGAGCTTCGATTAAAAGGTTCAGAAAGTGGTCCTGGGGGAGAAGCCCCCTAAAATTTTGACAATTTAGGGGTTTCAAAAGGCTTATTTAATCGATTTCAGAGTTTACTAATATGTAAAATTTTATTTTTTCTCCCCGAAGAATTGTGATTTTTCTCCCCGATTGTGGTGGGGATCTCCCCGACAGGGGGTGGGGATCTCTCCCGCTGGCGCCACCCCTGGTTACAGTTTGAGTAACAGAATCACAACAAAAAAAAAAACAAGAAAAAAAATTGTCATATAAAACAGTTTAGCACATGTTAAAGAATGACTAACAAAATCCCCCTCCCCTCTTCCCCAAAAAATAATAATAATTGTGGTAGAAAGCAGTTTAGCACTGTGCTTGACTATATCCACTTTGGCTAGAGTCAACCA